ATTTAAAGCCAGTAGGTTTAAAGTCCTTTTTTTTTTTTTTTTTAATATATATTATTTTTTTCCTTCATACCACTGGCGTAGGCACTTAGTGTATCACTGACATACAGATTTTATGTCCAGTTACATCGCATGGCCAAATAGTGTCATGTTCTCAGACTGATTTAAATAGAAACAGGCCAAGAGGGCCCCCAATATCCTTCCTAAACACAGTGATTTCTCTCGTTTTAGAAAACAAAAAGCCTTCAAGTTTTTCAGCTTTGTTTTCAGGTGTTACCTTTCCCTCCCTCTAAAACCGTACTCAAAGGATAAATAACCCAATAACCTTCATATCCATCTATTTTACTTGATTTACCTGATTTACCTATATTTAAATAAAAAAAAAATAAAATAGTATAAACAGTCTGACCCACTAGATTTTGGAGCTGTGACACCCTCGACGTTGGGGAGCCCTGAGGAGCACTCGCTGGGGAGCGCGAGCACAGCGTTTGCTCTCCCAAAGCCCCCCTCCCCAAGGGCTGCAAAGATCCTTCCCGTTACACGCTCAATTGATCGTGAAAGATCTCATGGCCAAATCCTTAGGAAATTAAATAAATTATAAAATAACTTATGAAAAGGGGTTGGGTCGGGGTTTCTTTGTTGTTTAAATAGAGTTAGCTCATGTTATTTCGTGAATAGTTGAGGGCTTTGCTTGTTTTCCTCTCTTTAGCAGTATCACGGAGATCAGACACCACCATCGTGTCTACTTAGAGGGCTGACAGCGACCAAAGGATGCTGCACCAACATCTCCCCTGTCCCTCCTCTCCCACCCGCTTGCATTCGGCTCTTCTAGAAATGCAAAGTGATGACCAAACAAGCCAACACCTTTCAGACTCAGAGAAACCAGAGGCATCTTTAGGATGGGTGCTGCTGAAGACCTTATTGCCCTTCCAGGTCATTGATAAACCACAGTGCTATTCATGTACTACAGGTAGAAAATAAATAAATACAGATATATTATGCAAAAAAAAAATAAAAATGATTGTATACATAATACATCTGAGGTATTACCAATTTAAATAAGGTTTCATGCTAGTTCAAGCTTCGGTGGCTAGTTAAATTCTGGAATTTGCAATAAATAGATGAAGAATGATTATGTATATAGTGTACGGATCTCTTCTGTAAACCTTGTCCGATTTAAACATAAGAGCGTGTTGGGCTAACTCTTACGCAAACCATGAATTTTCACAATAAATACAGCTTCAAAAAGTTGTCATAAAAAGTTCCTGCAACATGGAAACATTTCTAGAAGGGGCTGTGTGTACGACTGGCAACGTTAGCAAGGAGTACTTCTTGACAGGTCTTTTCATACAAAACACAAGGAAATTCATACATGAAAGTCTTTTTCCCACCCTCCCCTCCCCACCCCACCATGAAAGTTTAGAAATTTTTGCACAAACAGCAAGAGAACTGATTGTAGGTGCAGTATGTCAAAACGTCCACGTTCTATAAAGACCAAAAATAGTTTGTTTGCTTAGAAAGTCAGGGTTTTTTTGTTTTTTTTCCTCCTTATTTTTGAGTAGCGCATCATCCTTTTGGTGAAAGTTTGCCCGTCCAACAGTTCTTCGGTTTTCCTTTCAGCACTGGTCCTTGCTGCCCGAGCCAAACGGGCATTTCACACTTTCACCGTCTCCATCAGTGATGACTTGATGGCGTCCTCCAAAAGTTGATTGTCTGTGAAAGGGGCCGGGGTTTCGGGGACAGATTCGGACAAACCAATGAGGGACTCCAATAAACAGGAGCCCTGATCTCCGGCTTGCGGGAAGCCAGGGAAATTAGGCAACTGAAACTGTAACGCTGAGAAGTTATCGAGGTTCTCGTACTCCTTTAAGGAGTTGTAAAGGGGTCCCAAGTTATAGTCCGAGAAGGACTGGAAGAAATCCAAGGAGTCAGAGGAAAGGCTGAGGTCAGCATAGCTCTTGGAGCAGGGTTCGGCCGGGGATGAGGCGCAGCAGGACAGCCCATCACATCGCGCGTGGGCAGCCTCCTCCAGCAAACCCCTGCCATCCTGGTTGGCATTCTCATCCAGGCACTCAGAGAGGTGGGACAAGTGGCCGGAGACAGGCTTGGCCTCGCTGCCGTGGTCCTCGATGAAGAAGTCAGCGGGGTGGAAACAGCTCAGGTCATCCTGGCCACGGCCACTCTCTTCCTCAGCATCCGAGTCGTTGAAGTGGAGGATGCGTGCTAAGCCGTCGTCATCCACGTCTGACTGGGATTTGTCGGAGGGGAGGCTCTCGTAAGGCTCCTCCAGGTCCTCGCTGGGGTGGGAGGAGATGGAGGAGTCCGTCATGTCGCTGCTGCAGCTGTTTTCCCCCAGGGCCTCCAGGTCGGGGCTGAACTGGAAGGCAGGTGCCAGTGGCACCGCACGCTCCTCCAAGGAGCCCTTCCCCGCCATGCATCCCAATGGCGGGAGCCGCTCCCGAAAAGGGGGCTCGGCCTCTGCCACCTTCTCTTTGCTCTGCTGCTGCTTCTCCAGCTCCAGCTTCATGATGGTGTGGATGAAGTGGGTCTGCACGCGGGCCTGGTTGAACTCGATCCTGCCCTCAGTGTTGCCACAGCCATCTTTGGTGCAGCCGCAGGGGAAGGAGGTGTGATCCATCTGGCACGGGGAGAAGCAGAGGCGGAGGGTTAGGACCGAAGCTGGCAGCACAAAATTGAAACCGCCCACGGCTTACCCGCCCCCAGAAACCAAGTAACAGCTGAGGGGTTTAAAAGCAGACTTAAAAAAAAAAAAAAAAAAAAAAAAAGGAAATAATAAAAGACATCTTGCTCTTTTGAAGGGTTGTGATAAAAGAAGTTGGATTTCAGTACAACTGAAGAAAGTTAAAAAGGTTCCAAAAAACCCAAAATATAACGCTCCAAAAGGAGACACAAGGGGGCAAATGTGAGTTTTTATATATTGCATCAGGATATTTAATACTTGATCCACACTGTGAGCTTCTGCCCTTGCCAAGATAAGGACAAGTTGCTCAACAGGCACCTGCGGCACCTTTATGTCCCTCTTAGCAGCAGCTGCTCAAGGGGGGCTGAGACACATACGGTGGAGCTCCTGTCCACCTGTGTGCACCCATCCACTTGTGCACACCCACCCTACAACCACAGCACGGAGGGAGCCAGTGACACCCAGAATAGGGTATATGGCTCCCCAAACATAGCTGGGCAGGCACCCATGAAAAATAAAATGAAAAATATAGCAAGCTAATTGAATATAGAGGGATTATCCCACTTTGCAGGTGGTCTGCAGAGCTGGCTGTGGGCTGACGCTCAGCTGACACTCCCACAATCGCCTGAGCGTGGTGGGAGTTGTGACACACACCAAGGGAAAAAAAGAAAAAAATAAAAGCAGGGGGAGGAGGAGAAATCACAGCCTCGCACGAGGAGCACAAAGCTTTTGTTGGCCAAGACATCCCCACGTGTCCCATCTCCCTCCACCTGCTGCACTAAGTCTGTGAGTCTGGCAGGGACGGACAGGGTGGGCGCATTCCCGCTGCGAGCACAGGCACGTCCCCACAGCTGCAGCGGCAGCGTGGGGACGGCTGCAGGTGGGATTTGGGAAGCAGACGCTTTCCAGCAGCATCTGCCTGCTTCGCAGCCTGGGGATCATCTCCAAGAGCTTTTCTCGCCTGCTTTGCTTCAATCGCAGGTGGGAATAGATGCATTTTACAGGCTGCTCTGTCCTGCTTGGTCAACCACCCCCTGCTTTAACATACACATCAGCTGGAGCCACAGCTTTTCCCCCATGCCCAGAGGCGAGGGCAGTACCTGACATTTAATGCCTGCCAAGCTGCAGCTGCAGGTCTCTGGGTCGCAGACCTCCCGGCAGTCGCAGCCACAGTCCTCCCGGGACAGGCGGATGTTGTGCAGCTCCCGCTTCTCCTCCTTGTCGATCTTTTTCACCCCCACGGCTTTCAGCAGCGCGCGTCTCTTCTTAGCAGGGTAGGGCTGGAGGAAGAAGCCGTCCTCCAGGTCCACGTTGCTGACGTCAATGTCGTCATCGGAGATGTCGTCAATAGTGAGCTGGTTGGCCTCCTCTGACTCCTTAGTGCCATTCATGGTCAGCTGAGGGCAAAAAAATGGGTAAAGAATTAGGGAACCGTTGGGGATACAGAGCCATCAGCACCTCCGGGTCAGGAGGAAGAAGAAAAGATAAATCTCTTCCCCATGGTGGCCAACTCCAGGACCAAAATCTATGTCAAAGCCCCCAGAGACTTGACAGACACCTGACACGTAGAATTCAGCATCTTTTCCACCACCTTTCAAGAGTGGAAAACCAAGCTGAAAATCGTGCACCAGAGCCTGTGGGTTTTGGAGATCCAAACAGGGTTACGGAATGACGCCCCCCAGGTCTCACAGAGGCTCCTACTAAAAACTGGCTGTTAACTATGGACATCCACCAGCTCCTCACCGCCCCACACTCCTACTCACTTTCCATTTCAACGCTTCCAACTTTTCCTCTTTTAATTTCTCTTCAAGTTTCTCCCGACGAACGTTTTCCTGTTCCTTTGAAAACTCCGCTAGCGTGAACTGCCGGGAGGAGCTGTGTTTGCTCACCATCCCCAGGGTACAGCCCCCACGACTAGGCACGCTCGTGAACCCCTGGCAGCGTGGGAAGTAAAACACAGTGACCCGGTCAAACTCCACATTGTTCTTCTTTAGTCGCTTGGATTTCTTCAGGATAGACGTGGCTAAAAGTGGGGGAAGAAAGAAGAAAAAAGCGCAAAGTCAGTACTGTCATCCTGCAGGCAGGGTAGAAACGTTACAAACACGCTGTAAATATTACAAACAGACAGGACTTGCAATTACTCTCTCAACAAGGACGTGATGGACAAGGTTACATCGCTTGATGGCTTCTGGTGTTTTAGGTTCTAACACTGGAAAGGTGGGATGAGGATGGAGAGGGAACTAAGCCAAGTCCGGACGCATCAGAGTCACTGATCAGATTCACCCAAAGAAAAGCTGCTGTTTCTCCTTCCCACCTGACTTCCTCCAGGAAACATACATTTGCTTACTCTTCATGTGCAGCAGAGCATAACGAACAAGCGACAAACCATCCTACACGCCTGTATTGCTCTAAACCCAAGCACCCTGACCCACATTCAGGAGCTTGTGGCCCATTCCTGGGATGCCACAGCACCGACACTCCAGTGCTATGTGGCCTCCAGCTTTTGTGGCAGGGCAGAAAATAACCAAAACGGCTGTTTTTCTGGTACTTCCTTTCACCATCCACTGGGAGGAACTATGAATCTATAGTTTATTCTCAAGAGACTCGTTTGAGAGCAGCTGCAAAGATGTTAATCTTTACGCAGGTGATCCCAGGGTAAACATGGCAATACATGACTCTGGTTTATCTTAAACTGCTGAAACACGCTACACACCACTTAGAGCAGAGCCTCTCCAGAGATACCTGGTTCTGCACATTTGCACGTGCAAATGAAGCAGACAGAGGTAGACTAATTAGCCAGGGCAGTTTCAGAGTCAATGAGTTTCCACGAACGTCGCTGGCCACGGAAAGCAAAGCGCAACACAGCGGTAATGGGTTACAGAGCTGCTTTTTCTGCTGCGTGAGCGTGTCAGGAATGAGAGTCAGCTACACACAAATTCGGTGGTGGTGGGGGTTTTTTTGGTCCCATTCTCGGCTGGTGCATGGATGTTTTAGTTGCCACACGATGGAGAACACGGGGAAAAAAAACAACCCAGAAAGGATGGGCGGCTCTGGCAGAGCGGGGATCTGAGCCCCGCTCAAGGGATGGCAGAGCCGCAGGCAGCCCGGCCGCGGGGAGCCAACTGCAAGGACTGCCAAAAACCCGAGGGGCTTGGCTGGTTTGGCGGGGAAAGTGCAAGACTGGACAGTCAGTTGCACCCATGTTTCACAAGTCTCGCTTGCCAAAATATAGCATTTCAGTTTCATATGGGGGAAAAAAAAAAAAAAGAAGAAAGCAAGCGTTCACCCAGCTGCGTCAGCAGCTTCTGCTAAATAGCTGAGGGTTTCACATCGGGCTCTGCAGTCGCTTTGATGATATCTTTGCACTGTGCGTTGCGTTTTCATAATAACCTTGACTCAATCTTCTAAAACATTAGCTCTTTATCAAAAGGCAAGTTAACCACCATGTACTGCCATCGGCTGAGCTGCTGCACTTTGGCATTTGCTTCTCCCTCCCCGCATCCCCTCCAACCCCTCCGAAATTGTGTTCCCATTCCTGACCCTTTTCCAATTGAGCCAGAGAATACAAAAAGTTCATTGTTTTGTCACAAAACCTGGGAAGACAAGCAAGAATGAGACTCTTTATTATTACAAGACTTCTAAAGCCTTTTCAGACCGCTGCGTGTTTGTGTATGTCTGCTAAGTGGACCTTAACTGCTATATACAGTGGGCGTTCAGTATAATTTACTAGGTTGGACTATTTCTCCTCCACAAAGATGTTCCCCTATTGTATTTTTTATTTTTCCCTTCGCATGGCAGATAAAGGATTTTACAACCTTGTCTTCTGTATGTTTTCCTAAAAGCTCTCAAAACTGATATTGCTGGGAAAACAAAATAGCATTTATCTGTACTAACAGCGAAGGCAATGTCAAATGTGTCATGTTCTTTGGCAAAGTACTCGACTTATGTAGGAAATGAGTTCTGAAATGGTAATTACGCTACTGGTTAATCATTTTTAAAAACCGGTGCTATGGGCCTTTGCTGCCTGTTTAGTTTTTGCCTATGGGATAGCTTGACAGAGGAATGAGGGATGGTGGGATGGTCATACAGCACTGGTTTGGAGGGATCTGCATGCCTCTGCAAACACAGGTCTTTGGGTTTCTTATCCTGGAAGTTTGGACTTCAGCAAAAACATTATAAAGGAATGATAAATTCTGGAAGGAAGGGCTGAGGAAGACTACCCTGAAGATGCTGGCTGATTATAAGAACAAGATAAATTGGTATAATGACAGGGAGCTGACATTATGGTCACTTCCACCTGTAAAGGTGTGCTCCAAGGGGGTCTCTGCATGATCATGACCCACCACCATGCTATGAAAAACCCATGCGAAGGCATGTCTGATCCCAGGAATGGGGCTGCCAAAGATACTCACGGGTGAAGCTGGGTGTTAAAGCAGAGCTGGGCTTGGGCTCTCCGTGGGAGCTCTCCTCGTCCGACTCCCAGCCCGAGGACGCTGAGGAAGAGAGGGGGGAGCAGGAGGAGGAGGAGCAGTAGGTACTGTCATCCCCCAGCTCTTCGTACTTCCTTTTCAATACTCCACTCATGGTGACACCGTAATTTTCATATAACTGGAAAACAAAGGAGAAAAGCAAAATAAAGCAAGGGAAATACTGGCAGTTTCTGGTGAACCCCCAGCAAGACTTCTCCGCCACATCCACCTGGCCATGCAGGTGTGATTCTCAAAAAGCGCTCCCCTCCAAAAAATCACACCTTACTACCCTCACTGTGCACACCTGCTGAATTTCTCTCCCGTTTTATGATGCTGCAGAAAAACTGACTATTGCAGACAACAAACTGTCCAGAAACCAATTCAATCAACACAAATGTTATCAAACAATAAGTATTATATTTTGCTTACTAATTCTTTTATGTTAACTCCTTCCCCAGATCGCTTTCTATGCAGTTACAGCTTTAACGTCTTGCTAATTACAAAAATAAGCCAGTTTGCAGAGAACAATCTGTTGGCATGATTTACTTGCTACAGCCCCCTGGGGAAACAGACTTATTAAATGAAGCACTGAAATACAAATATATCAACTGTGAAGAACAGCCCTTCTCCTCACGGTGCCTTTCATAGTCAGTCCCCCATTCAATAAGCTATTCTTGTTTAGGCTGGGTTATGTATCAAGCATAGTAGCAATTAAAAACAACGCAGCTAATTAAAAACAAAGGAGCTCTGTACTTGCCTACATTCCTAAATTTCCTGCGTGCTTTCCCCCTGCTCATCTTAAAATAAAAAAGAAAAAAAAACCACAGAAATAACTTTGTTGCATCTTTTAACCTTTGCTTTTATAAAGTTTGTGGGGGTTTTGTCTCCTGGAAGTGCACTAAAGCTACACCCTTTGCCACAACAGGCTAACGGATACCCTAGCCCACCTAACCTGGGATGCTCCTGCATAGATGATGGACTGTTTCTCCTGTTAGGTGCTGGTGACACCACTCCTGCAGAAGTCACCGCCAGCTTATCCTGAAGCCAGTGGGCCATACCCAAAACTGAGAACCAGGCTGCGGCCATGGGAGTGGGAGAGATGCAGCCCCAGCCCAGAAACTCCCTCCAGCAAGGAGGGGAGAGCCCCAGCGACAGGGGGATGCCACCAGCCACCCCAGAGGGAATACACAAAACCTAAAGCAGCCCTAAAATGCGGGTGACACTGGGACAGACACATACAGTGCCTGGACAGTGACAGCGCAGGTACAGGGGATGCCAGACGCCCAGTCCCCATCCCCTCCCTCCAGCTGAAACTCCTCCACCAGCCAAATGTTTTCTTTGTAACCATAGCACTTTCTCACCTTCTTTTGCATGTCTGAAGTTAACTGAAGCATCTGAGAAAGAAAAAAACACACCACTAAACCCACCCTCCTGACAGCCCTGAGCAGGTGGCACAGAAACCACACTGCCTTCAAAACCCCCTAACGATGGGATTTTCAGTATCTCGACAGCGCCGCACAGTAACACGTACCAGGACATGAGCACACTGGGTGCCTTCAAAGCCCTGAGCCAGCCCTCGTTAATTATGTGTACCAACAGCTTCCCAGGAGACAGTAGTCCCCTAAAAGGTCAAAAAAAAAAAAATAAAAAAATCCCTGGATGAAGCAGGTCCTTGGCCTGAAGAAAATCATTCACTGCAACGCGTGCCTATGGGGCCAGTGGCCTTAACCCAGAACAGATGGGGAGGACGTGGGTTTGGCCACCCTCCAGCCCCAGCAGCACATGTCCTACCTGACACCTGGATTAACCCCTTCCCTGCCTCTGCCCCGGCAAAAGGAAGCTCACAGGCGGCGACGATGCCCAAAGCAGCTACCTGGCTGCATTTACAAACCTTTTATTTTTATTATTATTTTTTTTGTGTGCCTTCTGCTCTTTCACACCTGCTTTAAGAAATGACCAGGAGCAAAGAAACCCTCCAAATCCACAGCAGGGGTCCGAACCAAAGCCTGGGCTGCAGCCAGAGGTTTGCTCATCCTAATTGACCCCATCGTCCACCTGAAACAGCCAAAACCTTTGCAAAAAAATCCCGCACGGGGCTTGAAAGAGCATCAGTTCATGCCACAGAACAACCTCTCGCTGCTCCAAAGGACACATCCGATGTTGCCAGTGAAGGATGCCAATGTCCAGCCAAGGGAGGGAGAAACAAGCTCCCCAAAAAGCCCCGTAGGGAACACGATGAGATGTTTACCGCATCTAAGCCTCGTGGGAGACACTAGAGGGTGGTGGAGCAGCCAAGAACACACCGCTGAAACAGGGATAACTCTCAGGTCCAGACCAAAAAAAAAAACAACATAGGTGGCATCCATTTCTACTGGGATTTACCTGGTCTGCAGGACTCCCAGAGAAGCGAGAAGGTGGACATCCCAATGCAGCAGAGCAATGCAGCCCTGAGGCTCAGGTCGCCTGCAAACCCAGTGGCGCTCATCACAAGCTGCGCCACCTCCCCCCAAACCACACAGCAAGAAAAAAAAACCCCAAAGTGTTTTCCTCAATCGAGCTAACCGAATTAGCACAAACACCAAGCCAGTGCCAAGGCAAGCTATGTAATAATAAGATGGTGCAGTTTTTTGGTTTGGTTTTTTTTTTTTTTTTTTTTTAAAACACTTTCATTGAGGATTAGCCACCTCCGGCAGAAGGATGAAGGGAAGTGTGTGCATCTCCCATCTATGAGAATAAGCCAAATGCATAGAAAAAAGAAGACACCTCTATCTTATTCAAAACACCTATTGTTTTGCTAATGCAAAGTAGGTGTCATGCAAACGAGATTCTCAATTAATGGGGAAAAAGCTGGTGAACCTGTTGCCCACCAGCCAAAAAACATTAATTTTCCCCTGTAACGCCTCCCCCCTCCTTTGCTGATTTATGGCTGTGATGTTTCCCAGGTCAAGTTTTCAAATCCTTCGCAGGAGCTATATGCGATGTAGTGGGGCTGAGCCCATCGGCGTCTACTTGCATCCGCCCCCAAAAAATCCTCCAGGAGAGGGTTTCACTGTCGGACAGAGACGATCCTTTCCTCCCCTCTTTGCCCTGGCACCTGGGAGCAGAATTCACGCCAGCGACTTAGACCCTGCCTTGAAAGCCATGTCACCGAAATCGCTGGCCACTCAGCCAAAAAAACCCAGAGGCTAATTCAGACACAGCGAGGTTATTTTAATTGCAGTAATTCCACAAGCCATCTTATATCCACATTACAAAGAAGTCCCCAAAATGTGCACAGCAGCACTACATATGCACATATATATCTGTGCTTGCCATTGCAAATCACTGCAGCCAGCACCGAGTGCAGGATTTTGCCACCTTCTCCTTCTCTCTCTCTCTTTTTTTTTTTTTTTTTTTACATAACCTGAAATAAAATAATCCTATCTTCCTTTTAGTTGCCAAAAAAGACATTCTGTTCTTGGCTAAGACTTCTTACTCATCTATTTTACTGAAAACAGCTTTTGGAACAAGTACATAATGCAATGGATCAAACCCGCAGGAATTCCTCTCTGGCACCAGAACTCCCACTATCCTGGGAATACTTTCTAACAAATATTTAGCCCAGATGTGCATTCCTTTCTTTTTCTCTCCCTCCTTTTTTTTTTTTTCTTTGAAAAAATAAAAAGAATTAAAGTTTGGGTGGGGGGAGTAGAGGGGGGGGCTGCCTCGTTGGGGGGAAGGGAATCGAATCTGCAAAGTCCCATTTCTGGCGCTCGGCAAGTCGCAGGGTAAAGCCTTAATACACTGGAATGCGAGGAATTAATGTTTTAACTATCCTCCTCTTGGACGACGTCTCAACAGTAAATATTTCGAGTAATTTAGATTTAAGAAGGTTTGGCATTTGTTTAGCCAAGCGCAGAGGAAGGCAACTAAAACCCCTACCAGTGTCCAGTCAGTCTATTTATGAGAGACCGCACAAAGAGGCATCCTGGCTTTGTGCAGAAGTATGCGAAGAAGATGTTTCTGCGTTAAGATTTTGGGGCTGTTGTATGTGCTTTACGCCAGGCAGGCGACGGCAGCAGAGCAGGCGAGGCAAAGGGAACTTCTCCCAGCGAGTCCAGTGGCTGCGTTTGCTCAGGCCACAGCTCCCATGGGATTGCAGAACACTGACAAGCAAGGGTATTTTAAATTTTGGGGGTTCCGTCAGTGGAGCATCCTAAAGAATGGAAGGATCCCAAATTTGTGCATGAGCTCTTGAAAGCAAACTTTCTTCTTCTGCAAAGCAATTTGGGTAAAAGCAAAAAAAACCCAAAACAACCAACCCCAAACCTCAGTGCAATGCACTAAAGGTATTTATTTTCCAGTGACTTTTTGAGCCAGTTTGGTGACTTTACAAGCAGAGCCGTCTGCCTGCAGCCTGGGAAGCCAAGGTGGACTCGTCCCGGTGTGTCGGGAGCCAGTTAACAACTGTGCTGAGCCGTGAGTCAGAGCGGCTCCCGCTCCCTCCCCCAGAGCCGCAGTGGCTGTGCAGGTCTAGCAGGAGTAAATATTAGTTTAAAAAACACCACCGCATATTTTAGCCAGGTACAGCTCAGAAGGCGACTGGTGGAGCAAACCTGGGGGAGTTTTCGGGGTCGGCATTTATTTGCACGCCGCTGTTTCTTGCGGGTCAGGCGACTTTGGTGCAAGCACGGCCAAAAACTGGTGCGGAGCTGAGCTTCCCGTTTAGCGATCCCAGATACTTGATGTCGAACAGCAACAGTGATCCCAGTAACAACTCTGGGTCACTTAATAATCGCTGCGCTATCAACACTGATTCATTGCTCGTTCATTTAACTATTTTAATTCTTTGCATATTTGCTTAAGTGGTTTCCCCAGTGCTGCTGTGACAGCCTCCACGATGACAGCACTTCCCAATTTCGGGGCTGAGCAGGGCCAAGGCGAGCGGGATCATCCCATCGGGACTCTCTGGGGGACGGTCCCGCGCGTGTTCCCAGCCAGGCAAGCTGTGCTTTCCAGTTCAGACCAGATTATTTTCACCCAGCTGGGTCTAAGGTTTCATAACCTTGCTCTGGTTAAAAATAGCCTCTGCCTACTATGCAACAGCAAAACCCAAAGTACCCTGTGCCGTGGAGC